ATTCTCAAACGATTTTCTGGTATCAATAACATAAAAGTAACCATCAGAAGACTCATAATTAAAATAATAATAATAATAATAATAATAATAATAACTCAAGACGTTATTACAATCATGCTCAATAATGAACATTCCTTATACATGTCACAAGAGCAAATCAGGTATCTAAAGATCGAATAAAACCAAAAATTTACAAATTACAATGAAATTAATGGAAAAATATTCGCCCGAGAATTTTACATTTTCAACTGTTACAAGAAAATCGAAAATCAAAAGGAACTTAACTGATACAAATACACTTTTATATACATATACAATCATTTCGTTTCATTCATATAGTTATCACTCAAGGAATTTATGTACAATTTCGCTGAGAAAAACAAACAAAGAAACACAAACAACAAAAAGTTTTAAGCACAGATATTAACCATCGAAAACAAAAAATTATTGGAATGCAACAATATATTTCACATTTGTCATTGATTTATTCTTAACGATATATTCATTCTGCTGCATATACGTGTAAAAGCCGAACTCCTTCTGGAATTCATTTCTATTGTATGTTTTTGTTGGACCCAAAGACATTGAAACACCTGAAATGAAGAAAATTGAACAATTCTATAAGGTAATAAATGATCAATTACATGTGATAGATGACAAGTGATCTATTCAATCGATCTGCGATCATTTGAATGTTTTTAATATTTCACATCCTGTACAGATGGTATGGCCTATTGAATAAACGGATGAGAATTTGAATAACTCAATATAAATGATACAAAAAATAAAGTTTCTTTATATCAGGCGATGTAATTTAGTGGTCAATTTTGGCTATTTAACAAAGCTCAACAGACCCTATGACAATTGATTAATAAATCAGGCAATCAATTGGAAATACTGAGAAATTTTCGGACAAAAAACACGATCAGAGAAACTACTAACCATTCTCGGTGGTGATATCGAAAGCTGGATCCGGGACTTCCAATCCACACACTTTCAGCGTATCGTAACCGCTTTTCTCAATGCATGACCTATTCTTATATCTTTGGCCAGAACTGGACTGTATCTGTCTTCCCGCAGATACACGACTATCGTCAACTTTGCCTAATGCAACCTGAAACAAGAAACAATCTTCGGCACTGACAAAAAATATTAATTTTCCCTCAAACTCTCATTATCAAAACTTCAAAATCAACGCGATCGATAACGAAAATATGAAATAAAAGCATCGGAATGTTCACATAATTTAATTAAAAGAGTCACAAACCTGACACAGCAATGCGTATTTAAGTCCAGCGGCTGATGGCGTACAATACGATTCACTTTTGGTGAATAAATCAGCAAAATAAATTCCCTGAAACAAATTAACTCTTATCTTATAAGAATACCATATCATATTCATCCGATATCCCCATACATTACTTTCAGTTTAAGTAAACACAAGTAAAGTTCTAAGGTGGTGGAAGAGCATTAAGATTCTGCAATGCTGCAGACTGAAAGGAGATGATATTTCACTAAAACAATGAATTTATACTTCAAGATATTCACAACAACAACCTTTCCAAATGATTGACCGGTCTGCAGAGCACTGGCTGGTGCCGCCAGAAGACCCAATTTGAGAATACCGATGAGATTCTCTGGCTTCGTTCCGTGCCACAAGTACCTGAATTATTTGCTCGATGCTAATGAATAGAATGTTGCGAATTCATTTGAACGTTTGATCAATATTTCAATATGAACAAATTGCTTATTGAAGGCGACACTAATCTTCGAACGTGAACAATATAAACTAGAAAATGAAATACAAATATAAATGAGCGATATTTGAAGGAATCAATGAAGAGAGTAGTTCAATCCATACCGATGGTTTTCCTTTCTCAATGCGTTTTCGTTGAACAATTGAGTGGCCTCTTTGCTTTTCACACTGAATACGGCACGAACACGACAAGACGGTGAAGAATTGTAGATGTATTGTAAAATGCGTTGCGACATTAAATCTTCTGAATCCATTGAAGTCAGCTCACATTCGACGGCATTCATGATGTAACTGAAAAGAAATGTTACATCAAAAAAAATACAAACATCCTTATTACTAAAAAATTCTCATTCTTTACAAAAGATAATATTTAGTGATCGCAGTGTTTCAATCGAAATGCGCCGCGCTTTTCCACCACGATCACAATACAAGTATTTCTCTGGTGAATAATACAAAAATCCGAATCGCAGAAAGTAAATTGCCAAACGGCCGAACAAAGCCAGAAAATGCATTTAATAAGGAAATTGGAGAGTTTTTCCCGAAAAAAAGACACAAGGAAACAAGAAGTTAGAATAATAGAAAGTGCACTTACAAGTAGGGATCAATTGAAGAGCGCATCTCAGCCGCTGCCGTCAAAATTCGTCCAGTAATCTCGAAGCCAAGAAGAATTTCGATGACTTCTTCGAATGCTCCGATATTGTGATCGGCATCGAGCACACTCAGAGCGCCCACCTCACACCCGGCTATTGGAATCAACCTGCATGAACCACATAGATCAAGACAAAAACTATATGATTATAAGTTAATATAGTCAGACGCCTTTCTTCGAAAATCGCAGTTGTCAAAATATTCTCCTCGTTCACTTCACCTCATTAAACATCAACTATTCAAAAGCTCAGAAAATCCCATCCTTTTCAAATTCTTTAAGTCTATTCATTTGATGATGAGCTCAGTATCAATGCCGACATTAAAGTTTATATTGAAAAGGTTTATATCTCCTTCGGCATCCAGTCGACTTGATAAGGTATCTTTTGGTTTGAACTGAATGAATTGAAAAAAAAAAACAGATTAAGAATTCCGCAAAAACTAAACCTGTAGAAACTATTCGTTAGGTCGACCTGCTGCCGTGCGATTTGGCGGATATCATCGACGCCTTTTCGATCGCGTCGTGCCGCTTCCATTTCCTTGATCAGTAGGTAAAGTTTCTGGAGTATTTTGCGCGCCTCCAGGATGTCACTGCGGGACAGACGTCCAAACGGAACGTGGAAACGATTATTGCGATAAACCTGGAAAGTCAAAAAGTCATATGAATGTCAAACATAAAGGAATGTTCGATTCAACAGATGCTCATTTCGTCTTTCCATTCGAATAAATTGCTAACATTCTAAGTAGTTGACCTAAACGCGAGCATTTTTTAGTTAATGTGGCAAAAAATAGATCGCAAGGAGCATCACAAAACAGCTGTTGCTTAACAGA